AGACAGCAACGTGATGGGTCTGTAGTTAGTTAAGCTCTCAGGATCGCCTTTTTTCATCAGTAGTATCGTCCTTGATTTTTTCCACGCTGCAGGTATCCTTTTTTCATGGCAGTATCTGCTGAAACGTTCTGCCAGCGCTTTGAAATAGATGTAGTCCGCCTGCTTTTAGGTGTTCGGGACGAATGTTGTCGCAGCCAGGGCTTTTCCCAGCCTTTATTTGTTTCACTGCGTTCTCCACTTCTTCCCACATTACTTCTGGGATCGGTTCTTCTGCAACGTTTCGGTAGGTTCTTGCAACAACCACCTTTGAGGAGTACAAATCGTTGTAGAACTTTGTACATATCTCGTTCATTCGTGGGCGGTTGGTTGTTCTAACACCTGTATCGTCCTTGAGAGCATAGGGTATATGTTGCCTTAGACGGATATCCCTTTCTACAGCTTTCAGGCTAGCCCTTTTCTCAGCTGCTTCGCGAAGTTTCATTTGTCTGTAGCCTTCATAGTCGCACTTGATTCTTTCCCTTATCGCTTCACAGATCTTTCCCTTATCCCTCCTAATAGACAGGCTAATCCCGGGGTTTGCCTATAAGGAAAGTGGTAAAATGAACCTGCTCAGCCTTCAACTGCTGATGGCTAGCTGACCTAAATAAAGCTTTGAAGCTGAAGCAGGAATATGAAAACAGAAAACGATGTGATTTCCAGGTTTTAACTCGAGATAACATTAACCCTCAAATAGTCACCATGCAATATGCCGTTCGAGGACCCATTTTAATCAGAGCACTGCAACACGAGAAGGAATTGGAACAGGTTTGTATTGGATAGACTGTGCTCATACGCAGACTCTATACATATTTACTTGCAGGGTGTTAAAAAGCCATTCACAAGGGTCATCAAGGCGAACATCGGTGACGCGCATGCAATGGGCCAATCTGCAATCACCTTCAATAGACAGGTGAGTCTTGTGGTAATTTTCAATGGAATATCAGTGAGCGTTGCTAAGTTCTCTGGGCTTCAGTTTGGCCCAAAATCACTGGAAAATTAAAGGCAAGATTCGGGACGAAAATAGGTGTGGAAAAGCGTTCAGTTATGAAGCTAGAGGTGGGAGGTGATCTGGAAAAGAGAAGGAAAGCAAACGAAACGCAAAGAAGGAAAGCAAACGAAACACCGATTACGCCCCGTACAGAGACCTCCCCTATTTCAGCCACATTCCACCTTGGATAGAGAAGAGGCGCGTTGGACGAGTTTCACGAACCTAACTCTAGTTGCTCCAGTGCCAATGACATTGGGTCGCAATGGGACCGCTGCCTCAAATGCGCCCGCGCTTTTCAAGCAGCGCCACGTGGCAACCGACAGCGGAGGGTGGGGCTTGCGGACGAAGGTGTGAGTTGCGGGTGGGACGAGCTTCATTCGCCTTTGTCGCGCACTTTCAAGTTGCAAGAAGGGGCGCCAACATCAACGCTTGTCCGTCTGTCTACTACCTCCGGGATGGAACAAGCGCCCCCCCCCCCCCCAAGTTCGGAGCGGCCTTATAAATCATTAACAGGAATTCCTATCACAGTCAGTAATTGCTCTTTAACACGCACTACGATAAGGACCAGACTGAATATTCGTTGTTCGCAACGTCTCCATTCGTCTTCGTGCTGAAGTAGCTTAGCGGGTCCCCTCGCTCTAGTAACACGAAAACCTCCATTCTTTTGTTCCTGAGGCTTCGCCCACAGTTGCCATGCTGGACACAGCGAAGACCGGAAATCGGCGGATCAGCGAATACCATGACCGAACACTTTTCGAAAGCCTTCTGACATTAATCGGGGCATTCCAGCCCTTTTGGAGGTTTGAGTCAGAATGCATATATACAGCATTTTGAAGGCATGCAGAAATGCAGCTAAGATCTGTAACTATAGTATCTGAAAAATGGTATTAATATTCGTTCAGACAAAAATACTGAGCTACCGATCTTGAAAGAACACAGTCTATTGATCTTAGGGCCATTTAAAACAAACAAAACAAACAAGACCAGCCCCACACGAGCTGAACTTTGGTCACAGCATCACTGGGTCCTTGTCGCTAACGCTTCTCTGGCCCTATGCTGTTAATGTTAACGAATCGAGGACATCCGCTTATGCGGGAAGGTTTGGTTGCTGGAATCAATCTCCGTGTGTTCAAGAATGCTCTTCATTCTCTCGACATTGCTATCACCGGAGTGACGCTGCACATTAACGCATTACTGCGTTCAGCGTATTGTACAAGGCAATTGAGATCTTTCGCCTGAACACCGCCCACCTTGTGCATGCTCCGCCCACAAGCTGACAAAAGGCTCCTACTCGCTGGTATCGATTCGCTTTCTTCTGGCTTTCGTGCACTTTTCTAAAAATTTTATGTATTTGTTCATGTGTTCAGTATAGCTGAGCTTTTTTTTTTTCGAGCTTCACTGTCTCTTCATATCTAGAATTGCCACGAAATGCAGCTGCAAGTTTTTCAGTTGGTTGCTTGTATTGCAAATCCGGCCTTGATGGAGGCAGCTATTTTCCCATCTGATGTTGTTGAGCACGCAAAGGTATTATATAAGTGTTTCAATATTTTTCTTGAGAGTACCTCGACAGAAAATCAATATTCTCATACAAATATCATTTCAATTCATTAAGGTTCCTCCTTGGTGGTTGCGGAGGTAGAAGTTGTGGCGCTTACAGCCAGAGCCCAGGAATCGACATAGTTAGAAAACATATAGCCGAATTTATCGCGGTCGGTTTTTATAAACAAAGTAAGGGCGCTATCGCCATATACGGGGTCATTGTGATGTCGGTGCATTTAAAGGCAAGCCCCGAGATAAAACTGTGATAAGAGATGCTTCGTAGCGATGACAGAGCTGTAGAACGACCTGAAAGTGGGAAAGAAGGCAAGGGAAATCTTCGAGAACGCTGAAATTAAGACCTTAACCCTCAATAAGGTGGTACGACCACGAGACAGGGCGGTCAAAGAAAACAAAATAAGCGAGAGATCATGCCCTTTAAGAGAGCACGCTGATCTCTACTCCGACCAAGGTGGGTGGGAAACGTTGCAACGAAAGTCGGATGGTTTGCACGTCCAGTAGGCGCCTAAGGCCGCGCATTGTTGCGAACGAGCGGAGTGGATCCGCGGTAGTAGGTTTGGGTTCCCTCGCGATACCCTTCCCACAAGCCAAGCGAATCTCGGGATTTACCTTTAAAACCTGGTGATGAGATGTCCTTTTTGTTAAAAACGCGCGACTAAGCTGAGGCGGAGGAGAGATTCCCGATTGAGCCATTTTCATTGTTCCCTAGAGCTCCTGCCTCCTCCTACGCTTAGTCCTAGTGAATGTCCCCTTATATTGCGGTAGCTCCCATAGAAGTTTCCGAGCTTTTCCAACATAACTTATTGATTTGTCTCAGAAACGTGACGGTGTCCCATGCGATTACGAGAACGTTATTCTCTCCTCGGGCGCTACCGATTCTATTCGTAACGTTCTCAAACTGTTTGTTCGAGGGAACGCGCCGAAGAAAACTGGCATAATGATTCCCATACCACAATATCCACTTTATTCTGCAACAATCGAGGAGTTTGGACTTGGCGAGGTATTTTTGAATGCTATTTAATTTCTTCGTTATTTTAACTGAGAAACTAAGGCATCGTGCAATAGGCTTCTCTTTGCGCAGTGTCGTCACAAGCAGGGTCAACCATCCGTTCTCCTGAGATCAACGAGAGGGTCGTATTTACCAATGGGAAAGGAAAGGGGTCGTAAGCTCAGTATCAGTCACAAAATTTGAAGGTACCCTCGAGTGGCAGAGCAGGACAACTTTCAACTACTACTGCGACTACTCACCAAAACTATTGAATGGCGCATCCCAGAGCCAGAGCTCTATTGAATCACTTCATATTATTCCAGTGAGCCTGAGCATATAGATTACTTAAGAAGAATTTTATGCTTCTAGACCAAACCAAAGTGGGAGAAAGTGCAACGAATTCGGCGAATTCGGATTGATTTCTAGTGCCTTAGCAGAAAATTCTGACCAAAATTTTAAATTTCAAGCTTTCGAGGAAATTCTAGCATGCGCTATGAAGCAGCAAACTTGCAAATTTCAAAAGTTTTTATCTCTCCTCATTACACCAACTTCGAAGAAACTTATGGGTGTCTGGAGGTGGAGAACTCGCTTTTCATGAGAATGGCCTCGATAAGCCTTAAAGGCAGCGATCACGATAGTTTCAAGAAGGTTTAGAGGAGACGTGGTGGTGCTCAATGGTACGCCAGTGGCGAAAAAAGCGGAAAAATCCGTCAAGAAAACGCAAAACGGGACCCCCTTTTTTGGCCGTTGTTTTCACTCATGAACAGGTAGCTCACAAGGAATGGTCATTTGCTCGGTCCGGCCGTTTGTAATGAGCCTGGTGGTGTAGTGGACAGGGCTCTCGCTTCATATGGGGCTCGCTGCCATGGCTGCTCTCCGGCTCTTCTTATGCGAGCCGAGTGGGGTACGGGATGTAGAGGGCGCCACAGTGAGATAGCCACAGTGAGAAGAATCCCTCGTAACTTCGTTCAGAGAATCGTTCGGCAAAAACGAAAACGGATTTGAGCTCAGCGTCGCAAGACGCGTGCATCGGACTACACCTCATTACAAATGGCCGGACTGACCAATTGACCATTCCTTGTCAGAACGCGGACGTATGAACGAGTTCATCGCAATGCGTTTGGTGGCACCATGCCAAACCACGCTCCAATTGAGTTGCTGCTGGCAACGCAGCTCGTCCAAATCACCAACTAAACTAGTGGGCGGATCGCTTTTGGGGCGGAGTGCTTTCGAAGTCCTGCTCAGCAACCAGCGCACCTTTCGTCGTGAAAGCGCCACACCTCGCTTCCCTGGCAGCCAAGTAACTGCTTCGTGTGGTGCATATGCTTCCCCGATGCGCTCCCTCTTTATCGTAATCGCTGCCTTCAAAGAAGAAAAAGGTAACACATTGACGCCCGCGTCGATTTCGCGCTTGTCACCAGGGTGAAAATCGTGTCGAGTACGTGGTCGCAGAAGTACGACCCCCCCCCCCCGAAATCGAGATCCTGGCACGACCCCCTAAACAGAGCAAATTAATTCAATTAATTAATCAAAAAAATCCTGCAAAATAAAAATCTGCAAAATAATGTTATGGACGCCTCATCTTGTCATCTGTGCACTGTCTTTCATCGCTGCACACTTTTGTGTATTTACTGAAATATCGACTCGAGGAAAGAGGCATTAACTTTGTGTGACCTCAAAGTCAGGTCGGGGTGTGTGACTCAAGCCAGTTTTCGGGGTCTCATCCAGTAGGGGGGGGCATTGTGATGCAACGTCAAGTGGCTGCCCTCACCCCCCCCCCCCCTAGACTGGCCTTCACTCCCCCTGGCTCACAGGGTCCCGTACTTCGAGAAACCTGTGCGCCAGGGGGAGTGTAGGCAGTCTAGGGGGGTGGGGGTGAGGGCCCAGACACTTTTGATGGCCCTTTACTGGATGGACCCAGGTATTCGTTTCCAGAATGCACGTCAGAAATCCTGTATGCCACGGGTTGCGTATTAATCTTAATTCCTGCTTGAGTATATCGAAACAGCGAAGTGTATCAATCACGGCACTGGGTCAGATTTGCTGAAATCCCGAAAAAAAAACCGTCGAAATCTACACCCTCGATGAAAAGGTTGCATTCCTCCATTTCATAACCTTTGAAGCAGTTTGAGGTAGGGTTAGATAGAGCTGGATTTCGCGTTTCCAAGAAGTATTGAAATTGCTCTGAAAGCCTTCCATGCAGAAAGATAGGGTCTCTCAAATTTCGTCGAGTAAACGTCGAGGACGCTGAAATTTTCACGCGAGTTTTTGCCACTTCAAGAGCAATATCTCTCTTAAACGTAAGATCCTGAAAAAGGGAAGATAGTTTTGGAAAGCGGAAGGTTTGCGCTTTCTGATGGTCTTCTTAGCTTTCTTCTACATTTCCTAGTTGAGAAGATATCTGCGTCGAGTATGTATCGAGGACGGATCCGGCCACCTGAAAATCCGCTCCCTTCTTCACCATTGCAAGTGTAATTGTTGGCAACGCTTGAAATGGGTCTAGAAAACGAAATGGTGCCCCGGTAGCGTAACTGGTAGCGCACTTGCCCGGAAAGCGAGAGGTGCGGGTTCTAGTCCCGCCTGGGGCGAAAGTTTTGTTCACAACCCAGCATTCTTGTGAAACATCTAGAAAACATTCTCCCAACATAAGCAATAGGAAAAGGGGCAATCGTCATCATCGAATTTTGTCTGAGTATAGGCCATGCATCCGACCTCACTCGAAGTTGCAGAATCGATTGAAGGTGTCATATGATCATGACCAGTTGACAGAAGCTGCATTGTAGTAAACGCATTTCGTAACTCCTACAACCTAAAGAACAACTTCATTTGCCCAGGGCTTTTCCTTCACGGTTGTCGTTTTTGCGACAGGGTCCCTAACAACAGTGTCATTCTCAGCGAGGTATTAAGGGAGAAGGAGCGAGCGATAGGCAGAGGAGGTGCCTTTGCAGCGCGTGCGCACATGTGGCAGTCTTCTTTGCGGGGATGCACTTTCATTCTTTGTACTGCCTTCAAATACGCCCTTCTCATGAAGGTGGAGGAATGGAGCGACTGAACCTGCAAAGAAAATTTAATATCATGTTTTTTCAGATATTTTCATTTTCTGCTGCGCTATACCCTCTTACCTATCTGCACCACGATACCACTGCTGTTACTGACCCCCAAGAGTACGACCCCCCATGACCCAGCCCGACAGGTACGACCCCCCTGTCGAGGATTTCCTCGACCGATATTCACCCTGCTTGTCACACATGTGTCATTGGCGGTATTGTTGCGTCCACACCCGGCGATGCTTTAATCTTATATTTGAGACATTTCGTCTGTTTTCACTGTGGATCCACACAGCGGATTCGTTAGGAGGGCGCAGCAAATTTTGTTCCCCTATACTGATTATGAGTTTTTCAAGTTTTGCTGTTATTACGGTTTATAGGTCCAATAAGTTTTTAGCATGGTTTCGTACGAGCTAGTAGACGTGTATATTGGGAAAATTTCCGATAATAGTTTGTTTTTGATTGCCAAAGAAACTCGAAGTCTGAAGCGCAAACTGCATGCAAATTTCGTAATTGATGATAACTTGTTCAGTAGGTAGGCGTATTAGAATCTGATTGTTTGTGTTGAAATTGAAGTTGTCGACATGCCACACGTTCTACGGATTCATGAGACTAACAGAAGTCAATTAGTCAAAGAAGTACTGAAAAAGGTTCATGGGGAGCAAAATAGATGTGCATACCCAGCGATGCACGCGGGCTGCAACGTGTTAAGTCGGGCGAAAATGCGACGCAAAGTACAGCAACTGAAGCTCTAGGACCATCCTCCGATAGTTAGTCATGTGTTACACTGTGATCGTCCTTCAACCATTCATTATTGACAGGTAGGGTACTTCCTCCACGAGGAGACGAATTGGAGCCTGGAGGAGAGCGAGCTGGAGCGGGCTTATCAAGAAAGTCTTGACAAGTATGATACTCGTGTCTTATGCGTCAT